CACACACTCTCACACACACTCTCACACACACACACTCTCACACACCAGGCTGGTCATCAGCGAGTCTCTTTCAGTCAGCTGTGTCTGCAGCAGCTGGTTTTGTCTCTGCAGCTCCTCCAGCTTCTCTCGGAGTCGGCTCTGCTCCTCCGTCTGCAGGCTGTTCACATGACCGTCTTTACCTGCGGGACGTGAAGGAAGAGTGCAGCAGCTGTAGCGGATACTTCTCCTAAAACACTGCAGACAGTACTGCTAGACATCTGAGAACGGCTCAGTACCCAGCTTGAGTTTGAGGATGTTGTACTGGTCTTTGTGCTGCTGCATCTGAGAGAACTGCTGTGTTACGGTGCTCTGCAGCGTCTCGCTCTGGGAAGTCAGCGATGCTACTTGCTCCTTCAGCTCATTTATTTGACAATCCTGAATAAACAGGAGAAATGGAAAATTCATGTGTAATTCCTACTAAAAGGAGGAAGGAGAGACCAGCGCTTGTGGTGTATTTGAGGTATTTGTACCTGTTCTCTAATCAGCTCTTTGTACTGCGTTACAATGCTGTCATGCTGTTCTAGTGTTTTCTTCACCTCTTCTTCCTTTTTCTCTTCCTCGCTCGACTTAAGCACAGCTTTTGTTATCATCCCTATGAACAAATAAAGAACCACAGAACATGAAGAAAGCCTAAACGCTCATATCAGGAGGAATTGATTTGTCTTTAAGGCACAGCAACAGAATAAACCACTGAACTCAGAGAGGATGGAATATTATATTATTATAATATTCCATAATATTATATATGGAATTAATCATTTATTAATGAAAAAGTTTTTTTGAAGTTCTATTTCAGTGGGTCTGCATCCCATTTAGACTCTTGTGATGGGATCACAGACGGATAGTTTCTGGATTGGTTCTGGACTCCCACACGGACCTTCCAGCTCTTTGATGAGTTTGGTGAACTCGTGATCGAACAGCATGTGTTCTGGAGCGGAGAAGGCCGGCTGAGGTTTCTGAGCAGCACGGGAGTACAGCTCGTGTTTGCTTATAAAGCCCAGCTTCTCCACAAAGTTTTCCTTTCCTATGCGCTTCTCAATCAGCTGCTTCAGCTTTTCTCTGAGGAGAGGAACAGAACAATATTACGTGAAACGAAGGAGGCACAAGGGCAAAGTTATAAGAAGGGCTGTCAATTATCAAATTCATTTCATAACACTACCGTTCAAAAGTTTGGGGTCGGTATGATTTTTAAAAAATGTTTTTGAAATAAGTTTCTTCTGCTCAAC